TTCCTAGGATAGCACTCCCTTCAGAAGATCTTGGAAAGCTGGCCTGGTGTTGGTAAATTCTTTCAGGTTTTGTTTATCTGAGAATGTTCTTGTCTTCTCTTCCCATATAAAGGATAATCTTGCTGGGTATAGTGTTCTTGGTTGAAATTGTTTTTCACTCAACACTTTGAATATATTTTCCCATTCTTTCCTTGCTCGCATTATGTACAATGAGAGGTCTGCTATTAGCCTGATGGGATATCCTTCAAAAGTAACATGACGTTTCTCTCTTGCCAGTCTGATTACCTTGTCTTTGTTTGTGGTTTTGGTCATTTATTTATTTATTTGACAAGGTATATAAGGCATGTTCACTCACCAGAAAGACAGAGAGAGAGACAGAGAGAAAGAAAGAGAAATCACCCCCCGCCCCAGGGGAATGGCCACACCATAATCCCATCTCCTTTCTCCTCTCAGGATCTTGGGCATGCACACACATGCCCAGCATGAGTTCAAGCCACCAGGTCCAGGACTTGAACCGCAGTTGGCTACATGGGAGTCCACCAACATAGCCATTATGCCAATGGCTGATCCCAGTCGTTTTGGTCATTCTGGCTATAATTTTTCTTGGAGAAGATCTTCTTGGGTTGATACTATTTGGGATCCTTTGTATTTCTTGGGTCTGGATCTTTGAATGCCTTCCTAGCTTTGAGAAGTTTTCTTCCAGGATTTCATGGAATAGATTGTCAATACCCTTATTAGTCTCTTCACCTTCTGGGATACCAATTATCTGGATGTTTGAATGTTTAATAGCATCTAGTATTTCTCATATATTATTCTCATATTTTGGAGCTATTTTCTCAGTCTTCGTGGGGGATTTTAGTAGTCCAGCGATCCTGTCTTCTACATCTGAGATTCTATTTTCTGTATGATGTAGTTTGCTTTTAATATCTTCAAAGGAGGCTTTGACTTCCTGTTCCTGTATCATAGCCTTAATCTCCAACAGTTCCATTTGACTCTTTTTTATGGTGTGTATTTCCTCTTTCACCTCTCACAAGAAATTCCTCACCTCCTGGGACTCATCAGCTTTTTTGTTCTAGTGTTCATTGTTCCTCCTCTCTTTCATCTTTGTTAGTTTGTCATAATGAATGCTCTAAATTCTTTATCAGACATTTCCATGATTTGCATTGCACTGTCTGTGGATGAGGACTTATTCTTTTCCCTTGAGGGTGTGGTATTTTGTTGGTTTCACATGTTTCTTGTGACCCTGTCGTGATTTGTAGTCATTTGATGGATTTCCATTTCTTCCTAATTTCTAGAAGATCAATCCAAGCGATCAGAGGTGCACAGGATAATGTGGTCTGCAAACTCTTTGGTGTGTTGCATTTTTCTCCCTTTGTGAAGCAGATTCAGTGGGAATTGAGAAATATGAGTACCCAAATAGTATTCAGATTTGGCAACTTTTCATTTAGACTTATCTAGACATTCAGAAGGTTGAAGCAGGGTAGATTCTCAGTATAACATCTTTATTGCTCTTATCTCTGAAATCATTCTGTAAAGGTTTGTTTTGTACCCTATCATGTGATTAGTTTTCATAGGGTGAGAAAAATGTATGTTTTTTGTAGTTGGGTGAAATATTATATAGATTTCTGTCAAATCCATTTCATGTATGATATCATTTAGATCTTGTATCTCTTTGTTTATTTTTCATCTAGACGATCTGTCCAGAGGAGTTAGTTTGGTATTCAGTTCTCCTACAATTATTGTGTTGCAGTCTATCTCTTCCTGGACACCCAGTAGTCTCTCCTTGATGTATTTAGGTGCTCCAGTGTTGGGTGCATAGATACTTCCAAGTGTTGTATCCTTTTGGTAAACAAGTCTTTTTAAACACTATATAATATCCTTCTTTTTCTCTTCTTCTATCTTTTATGTTAAAGTCTATTTTGTCTTTTTGGTTTCTATTTCCAGCCCTCACTTTCAGACTATGTACATCCTTTTGTAAGCAGCGTATTGATGGCTTCTATTTTTGTATCCATTCAGCCAATCTATGTCTTTTAATGGAGAATTTGATCTGTTAACATTCATTGTTATTATTTATATTTGTGGATTTATTTCTGTCATTTTGTTAGCTATTTTCTCAGTTTTTTTTGCTTTTGTTTTTTGTTTGTTTGTTTGTTTTTGCTATAGGGTGCACACTCACTCAAAATATAGAGACAGAGAGACAGAAAGTGAGAAATCATTCCTCAGGGAGGATGGCCACACCACAATCCCTTCTCCTCCATTCTCCTCTCAGGATCTTGGGCACACATGCACATGTGCCTGGCGTGAGTTCAAGCCACTGGGTCCATGATTTGAACCGTGATCGGCTACGTGGGAGTCTAGCAAGATAGCGATTACAACAACTGCTGGTCCTTCTGTTGTTTTTTATTTTCCTATTTTTGTGTGTCTCTCTTCAGTTATCTTGATACAAACCTCCACTCAGTACTTGTAGATCTGATCTATTATTGGTGATTTCCTTCAGTTTTTGTTTCTCTGAGAATAAGCAAGAACTTTTATGTGTTCTTCCCATTTGAAAAAATTATCTTGCTGGATATAGTATTCTTGGTTTTAATTGTTTTTCTTTTAATGTTTGAATATATCTCATTCCTTCCTTGCCTGCATTGTTTCGGTTGAGAAGTCTGATGTTTGCCTAATGGGATAACCTTTATAAATAAGTTTCTCCCTTGTCATTTTAGAATATTTTTGTCTTTAATTTTTACCAAGCTGGCTATGATGTGCCAGGGGGAGGATCTTTTTGTGTTAATTCTATTGGGGTCCTTTTTATTCCTTGGGTCTGAATTTCTTCATGTTTCTATATATTTGGAAACTTTTCAGACAGTATTTCATGAGAGAGGTTTTCCATGCCTTTGGCAGAATCTTCACCTTCTGTAATGCCCATTATATGGATATGTTGGTGTCTAGAATTTCCCATAGAGTGTCCTCTCTTTCTTTTTTTTTTTTTTTTTTTTTTTGGTTTATTTTTCTTTCTTTTCAGTAATTTGGGCTCTGCTGGAGACTTGTTTTCGAGATCAGAAATTCTTTCTTCTGCATTTGCCGTTCTGCTATTAATGCTTTCTAGGGAGATCTTTTTTCCTTCTATCATATTCTTCATTTCCAGAAGTTCCGTTTGATTCTTTTTTAGGGTTTCTATTTCTTTATGGAATTTCTCTTTTATATCCTGCAATATTTTTCTCATTTCCTGGAACTTATTGTCTGTTTTCTCTTGCATCTTCTTGAATTTTGTCACTATGAACAATCAGAATTCTTTTTCTGACCTTTCTATATATTTCTCTGTGCTGTCCATTGTTGGGGATGGGCTACTATCCTCACTTGGGTAAGAGCTACCCCCTTGTTTTCTTATTTTTCTTTGGTATCTCTGTTAGTTTCTTGTTATCCAATGCAGTATTCTTTATTTTATTATTTTTTTTTCTGTTTTTTGGAGTAGATTCTGTAGTGCTGGTAGGGGAAATTTCATCTTTAGTTCTCAGATGTGTTCCTATTTGTGGGCTTGATTTCCCAGGTCAGGGGAGTTATGTTTCACTGCAGATGTTTGGTTCCTCTCCCAAATATTCAGTTCTTGATGAGGTGGTAGCAACCTAAGGGGATATAACTTGGTGAAGAAGATCAACTCATGTGCTGTGCTTTTCTTTTAGTATACCAAAAGTTCCAAAGTGGCTTCTAAGCCCCAAGCATGGATTCACTCTAAATCCTGCTCAGACCAGTCTCAAGACTACCATCTAATTTCTATTTGTACTGATAATAATAGCATTTGATTTGCATTTTGAGTTAATTCACATTGATGTTTTTTTTTTTTTTGGAGAGGTTTTTTCGCTATAGAGCACGTGCGCTCGCCAGACAGACAGAGAGAGACATAGAGACAGAAAGCGAGAAATCAACCCCCAGAGGGGATGGTCACACCGCAGTCCCTTCTCCTCCATTCTCCTCTCAGGATCTTGGGTACGCACGCACACGCGCCTGGTGTGAGTTTTAAGCCACCGGGTCCGGGACGTGAACCACGGTCGACTACGCGGGAGTCCAGCAACATAGCCATTACGCTAACTGCTGGTTCCCATTCACATTGATTCTTAAAAAGGCAGATAATATTGTCAAAATGACTACCCAAATGTGATTTTGGATTATTTAGAGTGCTTCTATTAAAAAAAATTAAACACTGTAGCAACAGGTGTGTAAACAATGAACATTAAGTATTTTGTGCAATAGAATGTCATAAGAGGTTAACATGATTTATTAAAAACCATTTTAGAATTGAAGTCTTTAAATTTATATTTTGTCATAAATTTTTCTGGTAATGTCATATGACAGTCAAACTCTTACCAAAGCAAGTCAAAAATGAAGCAAAACAAAGAATTTGTTCCCTTTTAAAAAGCTTCAGAGAGGGTCTGCAGGTAACATGGTGGTTAAAGTGCTGGACTCCTATATGGTGAACCATAATTCAAGTTCCAGACCTGGTAGCTTTCTGGCTCTCTCTGGTCAAACTGAAGAAGATAGTAAATAAATAAAATTAAATAAGTTTAAAAAAATGAGCTTTATTGAATTTTAATTGGTATTAAAAGAATTTCACATATTTAGTATATGTATTTGGTCGGATTTAGATATGTGCATATATTTATAGTTCCATCGCCACTACCAAGAACCTAAATATATTGTCCCCTTTTTAAAGTACCAAGATTAGCTTTCGAAAAATCAAAACCAGACTTTATTAGTCTGGATTGAATTAGAGTCCATGCAAAAATCACCTTCTGGGAAACATCCCAAAGCTTGTTGATAAGACGCAATTACTTCTCTGTTGTTCTTAGGAAGAAAAAGAGAGTTCATCTCAAATGAGCCATGAGATAGTGACCACCCAAACCTCTACCAAAAAGAAAAGATAGGGAGCCAGAAATGGAACGATCACTTAATAATTAAGGGTCTTTAATCTATACCTTAAATGCACTCCTAATTTCTTGATTGTGCCTCTCATCAAGCTGCATCCATTTCTAAGGAAAAGCCAATTAATAAACAGCGCTGGGAATAACATGACACTTGATGAAAAAAGGAAGTATGTGACACAGTATGATATCCAGAACCTTGTGAACTTTCCCAATGACAGCTGGCTGCTGGTTAAAGTAGGAGACTTTTTCTACAAAACTCGCCATGATCAAGGCTTGGTTGTCAATGAAGAAATGATAAAATGGCCTGTTAGTTTCAAGAAGGTATGATGTCATTAAAATACTAAATTTATTCAGTTATCTGAATAGTACTGAATAAATTTTGTAATTGTATTTTATTTTATAATTTCTTATTGACATTTTATTGTCATTCATCTTTTTGGTGTAAAATATGTTTTTTCTTTGTTTTGAGAAAGTTTCTTTTATTTTAAATCTGCTATGGGGTATGTACACTCATTGGTACATACACTCACCCATACACTCACTGAAAAAAGAGAAGGAAAGAGAGAAAACACTCTGCAGGGTGGATGGCCACACAATCCCTGTTCCTCCATTCTCCTCTTAGAATTTTTGGCATGCACATACACGTGCCTAGAGTGTTTTATAAGCCACTGAATCTAGGACTTTAATCTTGCAATCCGCCATGCGAGATCTAGCCAACTGAACTAATATGGCACAATATGGTGTTTCAAAGCATGAATGTAGTGTATGATAATCAAATCAAGACTATTACCATACACGTACTTTTTAACAAAGAACTTTACATTTTTGTGTCTATTAAATACTTTTTTCCTAAGGCCTTTCCACCTACCCTTCAATTTAATACCCCATACAGTTTCTGGTATCTATATTAGGTCTTTAAATACTTTAATTTCTGCCATAGGGTGCAGAGGTTTGATATATATTCAGTGGGGATAAGCAGTGTCTTTTATAATTTATGAAAAATATGGCTCATTTAGCATAGCATTAAATCTGCGTTCATCCACTCTCCTTCTATTATAAATTTATTTATTTTACATTCTTTCACTGAACATCATCACAGCATACAAAATGTGATTTGCCATCCAGAATACACTGAAAAGTGACTTGATCATACATGTTATCGTCAACAAATAAAGAGGAATGAAAAGCAACTGCAGATCCCACACTGTCTATGGTATCTGCAGTTGCTTTTCATTCCTTTCTTATATTTTCATGCATTTCATTGATTCACAAAATACCTTAATTAATCTAAATGCTTGCATAATCAAGTCTAGCTGATATATACATATCTGTGAACACATGTTGACTTTAGGCATGAAACTCTGTGGGTAGAATAGATTACTATAAAGTAGCACCTAGCTGAGATTTTATAGCTTACTGTGGTCATTAAATAGGTATTTTTAATATATTTTCTAATATCAGGAAAGACAGTTTAACTTTAATAAATCAAAATCAAAAAATGTTAAGAGAACTTTGCATAAGACTTAAAGCCAGGAAACAGGTTAGGATTCTGTTTGAATATAGGTACATGGACTTGTTCCCAACTAAAGAGAAGACAAAATTCCTTAACTCTGGAAAACAAAGCATAGAAGATAAGTAATGTTTTAGTGAAAAGTCATAAAATTCTGTTTCACCAGTTCAGACTTGTGTACTTAATATGTTGTGGTCCCGATATTTCCATTTAAATTCTGGAAGAAAACATTCAGCTCTGTATTTTTTCCTACCATTAAGCTGGCCATTTTCTTTGTTGTTTTAGAACTCTTATTTCTGTGTGTCTGACTTTATTTTTCCTGGGATAGCACTTCCTTCAGAACTTCTTGGAGAACTCGTCTGCTGTTGGTAAATCTTTTCAGGTTTTGTTTATCTGAGAATGTTCTTGTCTTCTCTTTCCATATGAAGATTAATCTTGCTGGATATTGTATTCTTGGTTGAAATTGTTTTCCACTCAACACTTTGAGTATATTTTTCCATTCTTTCCTTGCTCGCATTGTTTCCAAGAGGTCTGAGTATCTTGTCTTTGTCTGCGGTTTTGGGAAATCAGGCTATAATGTATCTTGGAGAAGATCTTCTTGGGTTGATTCTATTTGGGGTCCTTTGTATTTCTTGGGACTGAATGTTTGAGTGTCTCTCTCTAGGTTTGGAAAGTTTTCTTGTAGGATTTCATGGAATAGATTTTCAATGCCCTTATGAGTCTCTTCACCTTCTGAGATACCAGTTATACAGATATTTGGACATTTGATGGTATCTAGTATTTCTTGTATATTATTCTCATTTTGGGGGGTAATTTTCTCAGTCTTTGTGGAGGATTTTTCTAGGCCAGCAATTTTCTTTTCTACACCTGAGATTCGATTTTCTCTATGATCTAGTCTGCTTGTAATACTTTCAAAGGAGGTTTTAACTTCCTGTATTATAGCCTTCATCTCTTACAGTTCCATTTGATTCATGATTGTTTTTATGGTGTATATTTCCTCTTTCAGATCTTGCAAGAATTTCCTCACTACCTGGAACTCATTGGCTCCTTTCTTCTGCTGCTTCTGCAATTCATTGTCTCACTTGTCTTCCATCTCTCTTAGCTTTGCCACTGTGAATATTCTAATTTCTTTATCTGACATTTCTGTGATTTCCATTTTACTGTCTGAGGACGAAGAAGAGTTATTCTTTTCCCTTGGAGGAGAGGTATTTTCTTCTTTCTCATATTTGTTGTGACCATGTGGTGATTTCTGGTCATTTGATGGATTGTTCATTTCTCCCTAAATTTTGAGGTTCAGTATGAGTGTTCAGAGGCATGAAGAAGGAGGCAATTTGCAATCTCTTTTCTGTTCTGTTTTTCATTCGTTGTACTTCAGATTGAGTGGGAATTGAGCAATATCCTGACCCTAAAAGTATTTAGATGTTTGGATAATGTTCACTTGGACCTGTCTAGACACTCAGTGTGTGGAGGCTGAGCACCCAAGGAATGAAGTAAAGGAAAAAGGTAAATAATTAGAGAAAAGGAATGAAAAAGAAAAAAAAAGAAAAAATAGAAGAAAGAAAAAAAGACAATAAAAATTTTGTATTTTAATTTTAAAAAGCAAAAAATGAAAACCACATGGTGTATGCCAAGTGAAAGCAACATTTCACAGCTCAAGTTCAATAGTGATCTCAGGATGGGCCTAGGTTTGTGCCTTTCCTAAATAGGAGGTGGGAAAGGCACAGATTAGGATAATAAAGAAGGGGTTTGAGAGCCCAGAGAATATGTTACCTTAAAAAAAATTAAAAGACACAGGGAGATACAGAGAGACAGAGAGACAGAATGATGGAGAGAAAGAAACAGAGGTAGCCCTACTCACTAGAAATAAATCTGGAGGGAGAATTCTCAGCAAAAGATCATTTTTAGTCCCTGAAAACAATATTTCATGGCTCAAGTAGATTATTTGGTTTCCATGTATTTGTGTGTTTTTGAGGATTCTACTGAGATTAATATCAAGTTTAATTCTATCATGGTTGGAGAAGATTCTAGGTATAGTTTCTATGCCTTTGAGTGTGTAAAGGCTGGTTTTGTGCCCTATCATATGGTAGGTCTTTGAGAAAGTACCATGTAGGGCTGAGAAAAATGTATCTCTTGTGTTTTTTGAATGGAAAGTTTTATAGACGACTGTCAAGTCCTTCTGATTTATGGTATTATTTAGGTCCAGAATCTCTTTGCTTACTTTTTGTCTCATTGACCTGTCTAAAGGAGATAATGGAGTGTTGAGATCTCCAACAATTATTGTGTTATAGTCTATTTCTTCTTTTAGATCTAGCAGTCTTTCCTTTACATATTAGGGTGCTCCTGAGTTGGGTACATAGATATTTATAAGCGTTATAACTTCTTAGTGCATTAGTCCTTTTACTACTATATAATTCCCTTCTTTGTCTCTTGTTACGGTTTGTCTTACAGACTATTTTGTCTGAAATCAATATAGTGACTTCCACTCCTTTTTGGTTTCCATTTGCATGGAATAACTTTCTCCAGCCCTTCACTTTTAGTCTCTGTATGTCTTTATCTATGAGATGGGTTTCTTGTAGGCAGCAGATGGAGGGTTTCTGATTTTTTAATCCATTTGGCAAGTCTGTGTCTCTTGATCAGAGAATTTAATCCATTAACATTCAATGTTATTATTGATGTTTCCAGAATTGTCCCTGCCCTTAAGTTGGATGAATAACTTTCTCCAGCCCTTCACTTTTAGTCTCTGTATGTCTTTATCTATGAGATGGGTTTCTTGTAGGCAGCAGATGGAGGGTTTCTGATTTTTTAATCCATTTGGCAAGTCTGTGTCTCTTGATCAGAGAATTTAATCCATTAACATTCAATGTTATTATTGATGTTTCCAGAATTGTCCCTGCCCTTAAGTTGGATATACTCAGGGTTTTTTTTTTTTTTTTTTTTTTTTTTTTTTTTTTTTTTTTGGTTCTCTTATTGCTGTCTGTCTGTCTTTAGTTTTCTTGGTATAGCACTCCTTTCAAAATTTCTTGAAGAGCTGGTTTGGAATTGGTGAATTGTTTCAGGTTTTGTTTATCCGAGAACATTTTTATCTTCTTTTCCCATATGAAGGATAATCTTGCTGGGTATAGTATTCTTGGTTGAAATTGTTTTTCACTTAACACTTTGAAAGTATTTCCCCATTCTTTCTTTGCTTGTACCTGATGAAAAGTCCAGAGTTAGCTTGATGTGGTAGCCTTTGTAAGTGATTGAACGTTTCTGTCTTGCCAATCTTAGTATCTTATCTTTGTCTGTGGTTTTGGCCAACCTGGCTATGATGTGCTGTGGAGAGAATCTTCTTGGATTGATTCTACTTGAGGTTCTTTGTATTTCTTGGGTCTGGATATTTGATTGCTCTCTAAACTTAGAAAATGTTCTTCCAGAATTTTGTGGAATAGGTTATCAATGCCCTTACTTGTTTCTTCACCTTCAGGGATACCAATTATTTGGATATTTGGGTGTTTTATGGTATCTAGTACTTCTTGAATAGCCTTTCAGATTTATTTTTTTACTTTTTTTTTTCAGTATTTTGGCTTTTATTTTCTGTGTCAGTGGTTTTTTCTTCTACTCCCAAGATTCGACCTTCTCCATGGTCTAGCCTGCTTTTTATACTTTTGAGGGAGGTTTTGATTTAAGTATTTCAGTATTACAGCTTTCATATCTAACCATTCCATTTGATTCTTTTTTATGGTGTCCAATTCTTCTTTCATATCATGAAAGGACTTCCTCATCTCTTTGAGTGCAACCTCTCTTTTCTCTTGCGTATCATTGAATTTTGTTACCATAAATATTCTAAATTCTTTTTCAGACATTTTGGTAATATCCTGTAAATTTTCTCTACTTGGAGATGAGTTAAGTGTTCCCTTGTTGGAGATGTATTACTTGATTCTCTCATCCTTGAGGGTCTTCTCCAATTCTTAGTCATTTGGTGATGTATTCTCTTCTGGCTGATTTGTAGGAGGTGGATTCTGTGACAGTGAGCTCATGAGCTCAGTACTGTGAAATAGTTTGTTGCTATTTTCTCCCTTCTACTGTGTCCTCCAGTGTGGTAATCACAGGATAAGTTTGACAATCAGATTTATGAAGGGGAATTTCACTCTTCTTGCTACAACTATGGTGCAAAGAATTGTATAAAACACACTATGCTCAGATGTTAAGCTATTATGTACCTAGTCTTCTCTAGGCAGTGGGTAAGGGCTGAGCAGTAAAAAGGAAAGTAAGAAAAATTAAAAAAAGAAAGTAGGAAATAGAAAGTAAAAGCAAAGAAAAAAGAAAGAAAAGAGCTCACAAAAAGAGGAGAAAAAAACCCAGAAATCATATGGTAGATAATAAAATTGGGTTAAAAATAGAAAACCATGGGATGTGCTTAGCACTCCCACACAAAGGGCCAACACAGCCAGAGGCGGAGTTGCCTAAATGTTTTATGTTCTAGTTGAGGGGAGAGGAGACAGATTGACAAGAGCAAGGCACAAATGGGGCAGAAAAGCTGTTTGTTTGTTTGTTTGTTTGTTTGTTTTAAAAGATAAAAAAGGAAAAAATGTTAAAAGGGACAGATAAGAAGAAGAGAGATAGTGAAACTTACTTACCTGGCTAGCACTCAGGTCTGGAAGGGAGACCCTGGCTTGGGGGTCTTCACAACCATGAAGCTGCACCCAGAGGGCCAACACAGTCAGAGGTGGAGTTACCTGGATGCTTTCTGTCCTGGCCAGCACTAGGGAATGCTAGGAGGGACTCTGGCTGGGGAAGGCTTCACATCCATGAAGCTGCACCTAGAGGGCCAAAATAGTCAGCTCTTATTGTTTTTTTGTTTTGTTTTTTTTTGTTTTGTTTTTTTTTTTTTTTTCTGGATGAATAGCATTCCATGGAGTACATGTGCCACAATTTTTCAATCCATTCATCTGTTTGTGGAGATTTGGGTTGGTTCCATGTCATAGCAATCATGAATAATGCCACAATAAAGATAGATGTGCAAGCACTTTTCTCACCGAGTATTCTCCTATCTTTTGGGTAGATACCCAGGAGTGTAGTTGCTGTATCATGTGGTAGTTCTATTTGAAAGTTTTTGAGGAACCTCCATATTGTTCTCCACAGTTGTTGGATCAATTTACATTTCCACCAATAATGAAGGAGAGTTCCCCTTTTAACACATACCGCCAGCACTTATCATTTCTTGTTTTTTTGTTTTGTTTTGTTTTGTTTGTTTGTTTGTTCGTTTTATATTCACCATTCTGACTGGGAGGAAAGAAAAATGTAAGTTCTCTGTTGAATTATGCATAATACATAGTAATGTCCTTGATTTGTTTGTCACGTACTGCATGCATATTTCAAAAAAACCACATTGTGTGCTTTAGAGATGTACAACAACAGGATGTGAATAAGAAATCATGAAATTTAAAAAAATACCAAAAATGAAAATGCTGGGACCAGCAGGTAGCATGATGGCATGATGGTTAAGGCACCAGACACTACTACATGGTCGACCGTGGTTCAAGTCTCAGACCTGGTGGCTTGTTTTCTCACTTTCTCTCCCTCTCTCTCTCTCCCTCTCTCTCTCTCTCTCTCTCTGTGTGTGTGTGTGTGTGTGTGTGTGTGTTTCTGGTCAAATTAAAATAAATGAATTAATAAAAAAATGAAAATAGTTCTTTAAAAAGTGAAAATGCTGGGAACCAGCAGTTGGCGTAATGGCTATGTCGCTGGACTCCCACGTAGTCGACTGCGGTTCGTGTCCCAGACCCGGTGGCTTAAAACTCACGCCGGGCGCGTGTGCGTGAGTGCCCAAGATCCCAAGAGGAGAATGGAGGAGAAGGGATTGCAGCGTGTCCATCCCACCTGAGGGGGTGATTTCTCGCTTTCTGTCTCTATGTCTCTCTCTGTCTGTCTGGCGAGCGCACGCGCCCTACAGTGCAAATCTCTCCAAAAAAAAAAAAATGAAAATGCTAAGATTTAAAATAAAAATATATATAATTTAACTTAAAAAAATAAAGTAATTAGGTACCTTGGTAATATTTGCTAAACAGTATATAAATGAAATATTAATCATAGTAATTCTTAATTAGAAATCTATGTAATATCAGCACGATGAGAGCTGGAAAAATACATAGCAATGAACTTGTATTAAAAGTTGAAATTTTCTCTGAGGTAGAGGGAAATATAGATATCTGGTCAAAGTGACTGATAATGTACATGATTATGACTAATATTCTCTTTTCTGTTCAGACGCCTGAATCTGTGTGTAGCCAGAGCTGTGTTCCTGGATTCCAGAAAATTCACCAAGAAGGAAGACCAGTGTGCTGCTTTATTTGTGTTTCTTGCACAGATAGAGACATTTCAAATCAAACAGGTATAAAGTATGCCAGTATCATAATAAATTCACCCCCAAACTATTTCTCAATGAAAAAGAAAACAATAGTATTGGAAACAGAATATAGAGCACATTGTTCTCAATTTCCATATCTACGCCTTACTTCAAAACTTCAATTTTAGGGAACCACCAGTTAGCATAATGGCTATGTTGCTGGACTCCCACGTAGTCGACCGCGGTTCACGTCCCAGACCTGGTGACTTAGAACTCACGCCGGGCGCGTGTGCGTGTGTGCCCAAGATCCCGAGAGGAGAATGGAGGAGAAGGGATTGCGGTGTGGCCATCCTCCCTGGGGGGTGATTTCTCGCTTTCTGTCTCTATATCTCTCTCTGTCTGTCTGGCGAGCACACGCGCCCTATAGCAAAAACCTCTAAAAAAAAAAAAACCAAAACTTTAATTTTATAAACACTACTTCTACCCTATTATGTGTAAGCTCTTTTCTGACTGTGCTCATCCTATTAGGCTCAACTGTTGAACTGATCTCAATGGACACCATTCTTTACCATCCAGTGCTAGGTAGGACAGTATCAATCTCAGATCTCATGGTGGACCACGCTAATGCTGACCCTTAAAGTGGAAGATGTGTAATGATCAAGGCTATCCAAGATGGCTTGAAGTTGACAGAGTTTATACCAAGATGATAAGCACCAGGCAATTACAGATAAATTAATATAAAATATATACATAAAAGACAACTTTTCAACAATGTTCAAAATATTGTACAATGTTTAAGTACACAAAACTAAATAATATCAGAATCCTACACTTTTAAATACTGTAGTATAGTAAATTTTAAATATTGAAAACTCAACATGCTAATAAATTCCACAATCTGACACCTCAAAAAAAATAGCTGTTACACAAAGTATAAATTCAAGGAATTATATATCAAAATAAATGTACTATTGTCAAATATGAAATGTAAAAAGTTTATTTTATCATGCTTCTATTTTCCAATATATAAAGAATAAATAGTACAATGGTTTAAATCCTTCCAGAAGCAGTATAAAATTCTAGTCATCATAACATTAGAAATCCTTTGGTTTTAATCATTAGTAACAGTAAGTAGACATATTTGAGTAAAAATATGCCAAGAAAAAAATCATTCCTCTTGAGAAGGATCTGAAACCCCAAATAAGTGTCAATCAAGAAATAAAATTGGGAACCATGAGGTGTGGGACCCAAAATAAAACATACTATATTGGTGTCTGCCAAGCCGGTCCCTGAGACAGAAGCCAGGAGAATCTATTGACTCTAGGAATGAGAATGCTAATTTGAAAAATATGATAGACCATCACTCTTCAATACTTTGTCAATTTTATACTATAGCATCAGTATTACCTTAAAAAATAAATAAGAGCTTTAAGGCAGAAGTAGGCAAATTAGCACCTAGCTCTGTAAATAAAATGCAACTGAAACACAGATATGACCATTAATTCTCATATGCTTTATGACTACTTTCTATAATAGTAGAGGTGAGAAGTTGCAAAAAGATTTTATAATATGCAAAGCTGAAAATATTTATTATTGTCCACTTACAAGAAAAGTTAACATACCATGCTTTCAGTTGTAAGTGAAAATTTCAAAAATTACAACCCATTCTTCAAAAATTTTAAATGACAATTTCTCAAAGAATATACAGGAACAAAAGATTGCATTCAATATCCAATACTGTCAATTAATTCAAACTGTTTTCAACATTTACATGGGAAGGTTTATGAGAATGATGACAGAAAAATGAAAAAGTACAATGAGAAAAGACTTGTATTACTAAGTTACCTGTTATATACAAGAAAGACATATTAGTAGAATAGTGATAAAATTTGGGATACTTTAGGTGAATTATGTAAAGTTTATTTTTTATGTGTGAAAATAGATAAGACAGCCAATGATTTCTATTGTGCTAAAGAAATGTTCTAAGCCTTGGGAATAAAAGGCAAATCATAAGGAAAATCCAGGGGAGAGTAGAAAAGAGATTTGGAATAGATACACATCTTTGGCAACAACACTGAGCCACAGGATGGGCCAGCCAAGATCCTTCATAGACTGAGATCCACTTTCAGTAGGTTTGGTGTTATTGCAGGTGAAAGAATTCTCCTAGTATCATCAAGGAAGAATTTAAATGTTTGTACCTTGGCATTACATCAGGGGTGTCTTTACTCAAAATGACATAGAAGTGACCATTTCCTTCAACACAACAAAGATAAAGTATTTATAAAACAGAAGTACTTGTCTTCACTTTTTCACCAGATGCAGAACAGTGTATTCAGTGCCCAGCTGAAGAGTATCCAAACACTGAGAGGACTCACTGCCTCCCCAAGCCTGTGATATTCCTGGCTTTTGAGGATTCTTTGGGGATGGCTCTGGCCTGCATGGCTCTGTGTTTCTCTGTGGCCACAGCTGCAGTTCTGGGGGTCTTTTTGAAGCACCAAGACACTCCCATAGTCAAGGCCAATAACCAGCCTCTCAGCTTCATTTTGCTTATCTCTCTCCTCCTATTACCTTAAAAAATAAATAAGAGCTTTAAGGCAGAAGTAGGCAAATTAGCACCTAGCTCTGTAAATAAAATGCAACTGAAACACAGATATGACCATTAATTCTCATATGCTTTATGACTACTTTCTATAATAGTAGAGGTGAGAAGTTGCAAAAAGATTTTATAATATGCAAAGCTGAAAATATTTATTATTGTCCACTTACAAGAAAAGTTAACATACCATGCTTTCAGTTGTAAGTGAAAATTTCAAAAATTACAACCCATTCTTCAAAAATTTTAAATGACAATTTCTCAAAGAATATACAGGAACAAAAGATTGCATTCAATATCCAATACTGTCAATTAATTCAAACTGTTTTCAACATTTACATGGGAAGGTTTATGAGAATGATGACAGAAAAATGAAAAAGTACAATGAGAAAAGACTTGTATTACTAAGTTACCTGTTATATACAAGAAAGACATATTAGTAGAATAGTGATAAAATTTGGGATACTTTAGGTGAATTATGTAAAGTTTATTTTTTATGTGTGAAAATAGATAAGACAGCCAATGATTTCTATTGTGCTAAAGAAATGTTCTAAGCCTTGGGAATAAAAGGCAAATCATAAGGAAAATCCAGGGGAGAGTAGAAAAGAGATTTGGAATAGATACACATCTTTGGCAACAACACTGAGCCACAGGATGGGCCAGCCAAGATCCTTCATAGACTGAGATCCACTTTCAGTAGGTTTGGTGTTATTGCAGGTGAAAGAATTCTCCTAGTATCATCAAGGAAGAATTTAAATGTTTGTACCTTGGCATTACATCAGGGGTGTCTTTACTCAAAATGACATAGAAGTGACCATTTCCTTCAACACAACAAAGATAAAGTATTTATAAAACAGAAGTACTTGTCTTCACTTTTTCACCAGATGCAGAACAGTGTATTCAGTGCCCAGCTGAAGAGTATCCAAACACTGAGAGGACTCACTGCCTCCCCAAGCCTGTGATATTCCTGGCTTTTGAGGATTCTTTGGGGATGGCTCTGGCCTGCATGGCTCTGTGTTTCTCTGTGGCCACAGCTGCAGTTCTGGGGGTCTTTTTGAAGCACCAAGACACTCCCATAGTCAAGGCCAATAACCAGCCTCTCAGCTTCATTTTGCTTATCTCTCTCCTCCTATGCTTCCTCTGCTCTCTGCTGTTCATTGGCCACCCCAACACAGCTACCTGCATCCTCCAGCATGTCACATTTGGTCTTGTGTTCACTGTGGCTGTCTCCACCATTTTGGCCAAAACAATCACCGTGATTCTGGCATTCAAGGCCATGAAGCCTGGAAGAATAATGAGGCGCTTGCTGCTATCAGGGGCTTCTAACTCTGTTGTTCCCATTTGTTCCCTAATCCAAGTGATTATCTGTGGAATCTGGTTGGGAACCTCTCCCCCTTTTGTTGACATAGACTCACACACTGAGCCCAGAAACCTCATCATCATGTGCAACAAGGGCTCTGTCACTGCCTTCTACTGTGTCCTGGGATACTTGGGGTTCTTGGCCTTGGGGAGCTTCACTGTGGCTTTCCAGGCCAGGAACCTGCCTGACACATTCAATGAAACCAGGTTCCTCACATTCAGCATGCTGGTGTTCTGCAGTGTCTGGGTCACCTTCCTCCCTGTCTACCACAGCACCAAGGGGAAGCTCATGGTGGTCGTGGAAGTCTTCTCCATCTTGGCTTCTAGTGCAGGGCTCCTAGGCTGCATCTTTGCCCCCAAGTGCTTCATCATTCTGATAAGACCTGACAAGAACTGCTCAAAAGGTTTAAGAAAACATAAGGGGTTCTAGGATTAGAATGAAACAGGCATTCTAAAATTTTATCTCATAAGTCTGTATTACATTTTTAGGATTTCAATTCCCAAATACACTGATTTTATATTCTAATGATATAAAATAGCTGGGGGCTGGCAGGTGACATGTTGGTTGATGGTGCTGGACTCCCACATAGCAGACCACGGTTTGAGTCCCGGACCTGGTGGCTTTTCTCACTTTTCCTGTCTCTTACTCACTCGCTCTGTCCCTCTCTGGTCAAATTAAAATAAATAGAAAAAGTTAAATAAAGTAATTCTTAAAAAAATACAAAGTAGCTGAAAATGATTGACATTTAACATTAACTTTCTTTTAAAAACAGTCACTTTGTGAAACTAACCTTAGCCATCTATTAATATTAAAACTGTAAATATCATCTTCTAGACCCCCGAAACACTGAGACAGAAGCCATTTTAAATCTGAAGTGTGTCCTGGCATGTTTAGGGACCAAGGTGACTGAAACTATGCTCTAAACCCCATCTTAAAGGCATCCGAAACACTGAGACAGGGTCATTGAAATCCTAAATGCTTATTGAACCTCCTGCCTTAAGGAAGAAACTCCTTTTTATAAATCTGAAAGCAAAAATCTTTCTGTGGATACCATTTTGCAAAACACAGTAGAGAAAAAAATTGTTACATAATGACAAGAAGCCACCACAGAGACAGAAGAAATATGAGAAACCAAGAAAATATTTCTCCCCTAAGTGAAAAGAACAATCCTTCATCACCCACAGACAGTACAGTGGAACTCATGGAAATATCCGATAGAGAATTCAGAATATTCATAGTGACAAAATTAAATGAGATGTAAGAGCTGAGAGACAATGAACTCCAGAAGATGCAGAAAAAAAAAGAAAAAAGACAATGAGTTCCAAGAAGTGAGGATGTTCTTGCACAAACTAGAAAGAGGAAATGAAATAAACACTTTAAAAAAGAATCAAATGGAGCTATTAGAGATGAAGGCTATGAAACAGAAAATCAAAATCTCCCTCAAAAGTATTAAAATCAGATTAGTCATGCAGAAGATCAAACCTTGGATACTGAGGACAAAACCTCTGAATTAGAAAAAAAATAACTCAAAAAACTTAGAAAACAACAACAAAAAAATAAGAATACTATGTGAGAAATACTAAACACCCAAACATCCAGATAATCGGTATCTCAGAATATCAAGAATCAATAAGGGCATTGATAATCTACTCCATGAAATCCTGGAAGAAAACTTTCCAAATCTAGAGAGGCACTCAAATATCCAAATGTAAGAAATATAAAGGATCCCAAATAGAATCAACTCAAGAAGATCTTTTCCAATGCACATCATAACCAGATTGGCCAAAACCACAGACAAAGACTAAAATTGGCAAGAGAAAACTCTCAGGTTACTTATAAAGGTTATCACATCAGACTAACATCAGACCTCTCATCAGAAACAATGTGAGCGAGGTAATAATGGGAAAATATATTCAAAGTGTTAAGTGAATAACAGTTTCAACCAAGAATGGAATACTATTCAGCCAAAAAAAAAAAATCCTGGCTTTTGACAGTAAGTGGAAGAATATGGAAGATTTACTGCTGAGTGAAGCAAGCTAGGCTATGAAGGAGAGACATTGTATGTCCCCACTTAACATATACTGAGTGTCTGGACTCTATGACTGAAACGGATTGACTAAAGGATATACAAACACAGTAAATGGATGTTAATACCAGATATAGTGTGTGTGAAAAAGTAGGGTCTGAGGAAGGACATTTAGAAGAAAATTATAGAGGCATAGCATTAATGGGACAAAGAAATGTGGTATTATCTGTTGAAGATATTTTATAGTTTTATCAACTGGACTAGGGAGAAATGTTCACATGTTGAAATATTCACATTGTAAGCTAAATAATGTGATTGAATGTATAAAAGAAAATGAACTTTTAAAATGTAAATAAATAAATAAATGCTTTATCTGACATTTCCCTGAGTTCCATTGTACTGTCTGTGGATGAAAAGGAGTTATTTCTTTCCCTTGAGGGTGAGGTATTTTCTTGGTTTTGCATGTTTCTTTTGTCTCTGCAGTGACTTCTAGTCATCTGATGGGTCATTCATGTCTTCCTAATTTCTAGAAGATCAATCTGAGTGATCAGAGGCACACAGGAGGATATGGTCTACAAACTCTTTGGCGTTGCTTTTTATCTCCCTTTGTGTCAAAGATCCAGTGAGAGTTGAGGAATATGATGACCCAAATAATATTCAGATTTTGACAACTTTTCACTTAGACCTGTCTAGACACTCTGTGTGGAGGCTGAGCAGCAAAGCGATGAGGTAAAAGACAAAGGATAAGAAAACAGAGAGAAAGAAAAAGGACTCAAAAAAAGGGAAAAGGAAACAAACAAAAATTATTTTTGAAAAAAAATGAAAACTGCATGGTATGCTTGTGTGAAATCACTGTATCTCACTTTCATGGTGGATTCAATCTTCTTCTATCCCGCCCTTTCAGTGTGCCTAGATGGGAGGGGGGAAGAAGAGGGGAGTATTACCAAGATAAAGGAGGATTTCAGAGCCAAGAAAAAACTTTACCTTAAAAAAATTTTTAAAAAGAAAAAATGAGGGGACCAGCAGTTAGCATAATGGCTATGTCGCTGGACTCCCACGTAGTCGACCGCGGTTCGTGTCCCAGACCCGGTGGCTTAAAACTCACGCCGGGCGCGTGTGCGTGCGTGCCCAAGATCCCGAGAGGAGAATGGAGGAGAAGGGATTGCGGCATGAC